GGCTGCTTTCTCCAATGCAAGCCGAAACACCGCCTAACTTAGTCTTAAGTGATAGTAGCCTTTTGTGCTAGTCCTACTGTACTAATTTCTAGTAATCATGCTTACTAAGGCTAGTAGATAGTATGCTATCAATATTGCCTGTGTGGGCTTTTTAAGAAGTCGCCCCTAGTTTGCACTCCCAATCTGTGAGATTAGCATTTGGATAATAATAGAGCGTTTATAAAGTAATACACAAGTCCTACCATGCCCTTATTTCGAGCAGTTTACCGTCTGTAGACTACATTTAGGCCTACTGTAGTAGAACGAGGATACAGTATCAGGTAGGTATGTGAGGGCAGTCTAAGTCAGTGCAACAGATATAGGACAACATTAGTGATGCTGGTGGTATTAATGATAGTGGTGATATTAGCACATCAGGGCTTTCCTTGGTTTTTGCTCTCTCAACTCTATCCATCAGGCTGCGTCACGTTTTTGTTAAGGAGACATAATTAATTTCGCAGGTTCTGTCATGTCACATAGTGCTACAGTAGCCTTTTGCGCTGGTACAGGAGAAATCTGCTTCATAATCAACTGATATTGCTATTTCCCTGTAACTGTGTCAGTAGTTGAAAAATAAGCAATAAGCATAACAGATGGGAATATGGGCTTGCCCACTTTCTCAGCTTCATGTGGTGATCCTGTAGGACACTTGGGATTTCCTGCGAGTATGCGGTCTCATTGTAGGGGGTTGCAGATCAGCAGATACAGGCAGACTACGCCGGACTACACGACAGGTTCGAGGTTTTCACGATCGATGCCGGAAATCTAGTGTAGCAGCTGTGGGGGGATTAGGGGAGGGCGAGCGGGCGGGCAGGTTTATGTAGACTCCATAAAAGTCCCATTGTCGTAGGGATTTTTATCGCTTGCGATGAGCGAAATACCGTCTTTGCTAGTGCTTGTTCCTCTTAATTAAACTCCGGTTTCTTCCCTCCTCATGTGCAAGTAGGCGGCATGTTCATTATCATCATTACTGTTTACAGGACCCCTGCTTGCCACCTGGACGTGAAACCAGCTTGACTGACAGGGATCTCATAATTTCTCGCAGCCTTTCCGCCACCAGACAGGCCTCAAGGATTCCCCCGGTGGTCTTCCAGGGCACCGGTAACTTAACACTCTGTCGGGCCTTTCAGAAGACCCTGCTGAAGAAGGATATGCCCTGCCCAAAAGCGCCCTGCTCTATGAATGGTGTTCACCAGCCACCTATCGATTTCAATAAGGTCAAGTTCTATGCCATGTCAGAGTACTGGTACACTTCTGCAGACCTCGATAATCGCGTGAATACCTATGACTTCTCCAGTTTTGAGAAACACGCCAAGGTTAGATTCGCTAAATGTATTTTTTGAATCTGTTGTAAAATTTAAATGGCCTTTTACCTCTCCCCCCCTCTCAGATTTGGCATCTGCCTTTAAAAATGTCAGTTCGCCCGTCGCGAACGACGATGTCCACCATCTGTACCGACAGTGCAGTGTGCGCAGGACGGTGACTTGCTTAGCTCCTGCTGCACTCTCT